GGGTATAGACGTACCCTAAGTGTCTACAGTAAAATGCAGCTGCCACTGATGTAACTTGCCCACTACACCAACTTAATAACTCCACCTCCATGAGAGGCATAGCACTTAAGTCGATGTAATTAGGTCGACGCAGTGTCAGTGTAGACTTTGTGTTGTTACATCAACTGTTACTGCCTTTCAGGAGCCATCTCACAGTGCCCACACTGACAGTTAAATTGGTGCCACCGCTCCTGGTGAGGATGCGCACTACCGACACACAGAACGTAGTGTGGACATGCAAAAGCAGTTTAATTACTGCAGTGGCTGTACGACAACATAACTTAGGTCAACTTAATTTTGTAGTGTAGACTTGCCCTTATACTCATAATAGTGGAAGTGGGATACATAACAATACTCTCCTGTTCTATCCTTTGGGCTTTTATATCTGGCTGCAGGGAGTCCTGTATTGCAGACTTGCTGGCTTCTGGCATGGATCATTTCATTTGAAGGCTTTTGTGAAAAGTTTCTTTAGCTTTTCTTTTGTGTTTGTTTAGGAGCCCAAATGTCTTACATTTATTTTGAATCTCAGTTCTCTCTATTGTTATCTTCACAGCAGCATCCTCTTTTTGTCTTAATAATTTGGCAGCAGTGAAACAGTAGTAGAATTTAGTAGGATTCAGATCTTTAAGAAGTTAAGTGGTGGGATTTGTCAATAATGAATTCCATTTAAAAAAAAGCCCGTACTGTACTTTACCAGAATGCCAGTCAACAGATTCCTTCCCTGCAGGTATACTTACTACCATCATTACAGATCAGATGTAATGGTGCAGAAGCGATTAGTTTTCTTAAACAAGGAAGAGTATTTCTTCCTGTATCCTTTGCCGGTGCAAGGAGTAATACGTAAATTCAACAGCTATAGGCAGCTGTGACTTCCAAAATATTGGTTTAGCTGATTTATTTATGGAGCTATGTAGCACCGTAAAAATGTGGAAATTTGCCTCCATAGCTGCAGCTTTTCTTCTGAATTCACTAGATTAGATTCACACAGCTATAATGTTTCCGTAAATATCATCGACGTTTTGGTACATGGGGCAAAATTTTAGTGCAGTAATCATTTTTGTGTGTGGTGGCTAGAAAGGTGATTCTATTACAAATTTTATCTTTTTTTAAAATTGCATAGTCATCTCAAGGAGGTTTAGGAGAATTAAGTTAAAACAAAAAAGAATACAAAGCTCAGTGGAGTAAATACCAAAAGGGGACTGGTTTTAAAACATGTAATCACGGTGAGTGAAATTCATCCAAGCATAGAGTGTCTCTCCACAAGACCATCCATACCACTTAAGCCCCACAGATCCCCTGCGGAGGGCTCTCTGTCTACTCCAAATAGGTCAGCGTGGAGGGGAACTTTTAGAAATGTGCCACCTCCCAAGGCCCTGGAATCACTCTTATGTGGCCCATGGCCCAGAGCCTCTTATGTAGGAAATCCAGAGAGTCAGTGGCCACTATTCTGGCACAGAGTGGACTGAGTGGTGAGTGGAGGAGACAGTTTTGCAGCCTCAATGGCTCACCCTCAGGGTGAGCTCTGTACAGCAGAAGGTAATTCACCCAGTATCAGACAAATAACATGATGTATTTTAACAGCATCTCCACAGCTATTGTAGCATGTGTCAAGAGGGAATTTCTTTAGTTTGATTTTAGGCCTTGTATGCCAAGTTTTAACCAAGAATTACTTTTTTCCTGGCAAGAGAGTCATTCAAGTTCCCCATCCTTTGTCTCCGTATTACTTTCCCGTGCTTTAGAGTTTCCATGTTGTGGCAACTTTCCCATGGGGAAAGAGGGCAAACTGTGCTAGCCCTGCAGTGCAGTTTTTTCTGGCAGCCAGAGAGGGTCAGTGGAGATGCTCACTAATGCTCTCAGCTTCCTGTGGACCAAGTGGCAAGCAAGGGCCCCAGTCGAATCTTTCGTGTGGCGGCACATGCCCTGTCACCAGGCCAGCAGGATCAGCTAAGAGAAGGTTTTTTGCAGGCTAAATTCTCATGTACATTTCTGTACGAAAAACTATCTATCTAAGGTTTGATGGCAGGCCCTTAATTGTCAAGTGTCACTCTTTTGCTAAAGTTAGAAATGAACACTGAAGCTGAGAGCTGACCATCAAATGACTAACTGTGCTCTGAAACCTGTGCTGCTTTTGATGTTCTACTCTGAAACCTGTGCTTCTTTTGATGTTCAAATCTCCATACTACATTCCCTAAGACATTATATTGCATTTACTAGTTACCTGGTAGATCCCCTTGGCTCAGTCTATACCCAGTGGCCTGGGGCTGCTTGCCAGCCTTTAATTCTAACCCTATTTATATAACTTGTTTGTATTATGTTTCCTTTTTGTGTGACAGGGTGCAAAAGCGTGTTTCCTCCGAGACATTCCCTTTTCTGCAATCTATTTTCCTGTTTATGCTCACAGTAAACTGATGCTTGCTGATGAAAATGGCCACGTGAGAGGGCTTAATCTCCTTACAGCTGGTGCCATTGCAGGTAACTTCTCAATATGTTTTCTAGAAGTAACCTTTTTCCCCTTAATAGATAATATTTAATATTCGTTCATCAGTCCCATACGAATGGTAGTATGCCATTGTATCTGATTTAATCTAAATTTGATCACTTTTATCCTTGGTGGGAGGTAGTGTAATTTTGATGAGAGCTAATTACATTTGCATAATGTGGATAAACAGCTTAATGCAGCTCAGCGACTTGTAGCCAAATTTGATCTGTCTGTCTCAATGGGGTTTTAGTTGTTACCAGGCGCTCTGACTTGAAGGCTAATTTGAATCTTTGATGAACATATACTGAGAAGAATTAAAAAGAAAATGATTCATCTAACTTAGGGCTCCTAAACAACTGGGGAAGAAACTTTCAGTTCAAAGGGAAATGCCAAAATAAAGATTTGAAGGTGCCTTATTGTTCAGTAGGAGTGAAAATAACATACTCTTCATGTTTTTTTTAAAGAATTTCTAATCAAGATTTCCCTTGTAATGATAGTGGGACAAACTCACCCCACTCACATGAAGTTAGTGTTTAGAAATTACTTCTGTAGCCTTTTATTTTATTTAAAGTGAATTTTGTAATGTGGTATTACATCACCATGGGTTTGACTCTGCTGGCTATAGTTTCAGGCTTAACAGAGTAAAAGTCACCTCTGCTACGTGCTTCAGATTTAGAGTCTCTAGGAACACACAAAGACCAAGGTTAGAGACCACGCATACATTTATAAGTACAATGTCTAGTCTGTTTGCCAAGTTTTTGTTAAAGTTACAATCAAAGTTATGATTACCTAAGCATATAGAAATTCTATACGGACCTATGCACAAGTTACTTATATAGTTATACTCACATCCTCCTAGATAGTGTTAGGGTCAGATGGGTCTCTCATGGATTGATCATCAGTAAAGGGATGGTTCCTGCTGGAGTTTTCCATGGGGAGCTCAATGTTCCTAATCTGGGCACCCGCTTTTTATAATGTGATTCTGACTATACTTCATTAGTATTTATGCACTTAGTGCACCCTGCAGTTAGGACACGTGTTAGAAAAATGTGACTACTGAGCATCTCGTAAGCAAAACTTTACTCTTACAGTACATTTTTTGCAGTATCACCCATTGGTACATTTTTTCTGGTCATCGTCTGGCATAGGGTCATTCTTTAGTCGCTTACTTTTGTCAAGCATTTCTTAAGCCTCTGGCCTAGTATGGCTAAGCTAAAATCTTACAGGCCTCAGCCTGTAGGCCTTGCATTACAACCCGACTTACTTAAATATCTAATACATAATTATCCCTTCTAACTACTGATCAATCTTATATTTCTATAATCCTATAATTTAACTCTATTTAGCATACAGTGATTATATGTAACATAACATGTTAGTAAATCATAACATAACATATACAATAAACAAAAATCATTGGCTACACTTGGAATGAACAAAATGTGTAACTGGTCTTTGGATAATAATGGCCTTTTATCTCAGTCAGTAGTATAATAAAATTAGGCCCAAATGTGATGGGGATGAGTAGGCTAAAAATGCACTGCTAGACAAATTAATGGTGGACATACTGGGCCAAATTCTCTTTTGCACCCAGTATCTGCTGTGTGTAACACAAGTGAGGTAGAATGCAGAGGAGGTGTTTGCAGTTCCTTGATTCTGGGCCCATTTGGAGCTGGCCTATGTGTAGTTCATTAGACCAACCTTAGAGCTATCCAGGGATCACTAGAGCTCTGTGTGCTCCAGCCTGACACCTAAACTGGAGTTGGCGTAAGACCTGGTTATGCCTGCTCTTCCCCAACTGGGTATGCCCCCATGGCTGTGGGTTATCCAGCAGGGGAGATGTGACAATTTTCTGGGCCCTTTTGCTCTCGAATGGCACAAAGGGCCCAGAAATGGGAAGAAAATCTGTTCCATTGTATTCATAGAACTACTGAAAAATACACTGTGAGGTCTAGTATCCTATAATAAGACTTGCCATTTGTGTTTTTTAACCACAGCTTAATTCATTAATGTTTATCAGGTACTTGGATATTAATGCGATGAGCTTAATAGAAATGGCTATAAATCTTGTTTCAGATACAAAATTTAGCCTACAAGAATCCTTTCTGAGTTGCAAATTCCCTTTATTGTTTAACGGGAATGCATCAGATAAGCATAACTGAGAAGAACATTGTATGTACACATGTGGCTTCAAAGAAAGTTGGTAGGGTTGTAATAGTGCATAGTTAGACTGGCTTTGCTGCTCCTGTTCCAATATAAAACCTACTGACTTGATCAGCAGGATGTTTGGGAAGGTTTACTGTAACTTTGTTAAATTTCTGACCTGTCAACTTGATAAATCTCCCTTAAATGCTATGTAGACAACTGTTATGCTGGTTTTTTAATTGTATTGAAATCAATAGTAACAATTCAACCAAGGCTGAAAGTGAACATTCAAGTTCCAAGCTGGAAGGGAATTCTGATTTTTGGTTAAGTGATTGAACTGAGTCAGTATGCATTATATTAAAAATTAGAGTTGGATTTGTACATCTAAATTTTATAAATATTCTAACAGCATCCATAATTGTGCCTTCAGGAGAATACTTTACCTGCATGGTTTCCCTTTCATTTGAATAAGAAACCGGTGGTGGTGCTTGGGGTGGGGTACTGTTACTGTACATCACTCATGGCTGTTACCATACTGTGTGCCAAAAATGCCTTTATTGTCAACCTTTCTTTATAGTTTACTTTTTAAATAGACTTGTGTTCTTGTGTTCTGCTAATGAACTGGCCAAAGAGCACCACAGAAATCTCACTGTAGAATAGATGGCCTCTAAATGATCACTTTGCATATTTACACCTTTAAACAAATGGATCTGTGAAGGATTAGAATGTTAGTACTTGAGAGGTTTGCAGAGCAGTTAATCAGCTATACTGTTACAAAGTACTTGGTACATACAATAGGTGAGTAGAACTATTAATATTCACAAAGCACAGTAAGGCTGACAGAGCTCCTAGAATCAGCTGAGAGCACCACTAATTTGTGTCAGGAATATTTAATCCCTTATATTGAGAGAGAGAGAGAGACAGAGAGAGAGAGAGAGAGGAGGTAGTTTAA